TCGTGAGGTTTTCAGTGTGTAGCTTCCCCACTCAAAGCGTCTATGTGTCTGGCAAACTCAAAAACCAATCCGTCTGTGAGGTTTCAGTATGCAGCTATCCCCACTCAACACGTCTATGTGTCCGGCAATCTCCAATACAAATCACCTGTGAGGTTCCGGTATGTGGCTATCCTCACTCAACACGTCTATGTGTCTGGCAATCTCCAACATCACTCAACTCGTGAGGTTTCAGTATGTAGCTATCCCCACGCAGCGCGTCTATGTGTCTGGCAAACTCAAAAACCAATCCATCTGTGAGGTTTCAGTATGCAGCTATCCTCACTCAACACGTCTAGGTGTCTCGCAATCTCCAATACAAATCACCTGTGAGGTTCAATATGTGTCTATCCTCATTCAACGCGTCTATGTGTCTGGCAATCTCCAACATCACTCAACCCGTGGGGTTTCAGTATGCAGCTATCCCCACTCAACCCGTCTATGTGTGTGGCAATCTCAAACCTCACTCATCCCGTGGGGTTTCAGTATACAGCTATAATCACTCACCACGTCTATGTGTCCGGCAATCTCCTACATCACTCAACCTGCGAGTTTTCCGTAAGCAATCCTCACTCCACGCATCCATGCGTCACGCGTCTTTGGTAGCGCATACCATGGGGGCTATGTTTGGGGTGGCGTGTTTTACAGGGCTTTGCCAACAGCGCCAACCCACTTAAGTCTAGAGGGGCGAGAGGGACGGGGGGGGGGAAGATCTGCTCGTCAACACCCATACAACATTAGAACCTTCAGGCGGCGAAACGAGAAATCGCTCGGTTTCGGCATATTGTGGGATTGCTGTTGTTGTTGTTGTTGTTGTTGTTGTTGTTGTTGTTGTTTTCTTCGCATTTAACTCGGATCAGTTGCTAATCCCAAAATCTAGCAAAGACCGTGGTCATTAAAATGCTAGAAGAGCCACCAGAAGATCTAAAGAACACACACACTTATCATGAAAAGGATACACGAGCCGAAGAGGTACATCTACAATCCCTGCGCTACCTTCTTGGTCTGCAAAATTCTCGCGCTGAAGGGGTCAACCATTCCAATCTTCGGCTTGTCACCACCTACTCCCTCCTCCTTTGATGGTGAAGCCAGGTTAATGAGACAGTACAGCTCCCTCTAGCAAACCTAGGGCCGTGCACATTTGCCCATTCACCTTTCTGATGGTGTAACTATTTCCCAGCATGTGGCAGCAGAAGCTGCGTCGTCGACGTTAGCTTAGTCTGCATGTTCGAACAGAACACTGCTTCCTTCATGGCTAGTGCCGATGCAATCAGCTCCACCTCCATGGTCGACATGGCAGTCGGACTTCGTATCCCCGACTTGAAGCTCACTGATGCATTGCCCAGCGTCGTCAAGTAGCAAGAGGTGCCCTTTCCGTTGTCCGATTTGTTCGCCCAGTTGGAGTCCGAAAGGGTCGCAAGCTTGAAGCCTCCACTCTTTTACCAGCATGTAATTATAATATCCGTGGTGCCGGCCAGATAGCGAAGAGTGTGCTTCGCTGCCACCATGTGGATCTTGCTGGGTTTCGCCGTTGCGCGGGCCAATTGGCCCGTAGCGTATACGATGTCGTGATGGAGCACTTGAGCGATGTACATCAGGCACCCCACGATGCCCTGATAACGTCGCGTTTCTTCCTCGTTTCGCAGAGTGTCCTCTGAGTGCATGTTAGAGAGATCCGAACCGAAGCCAGGCGTACTAGTCGGTTTGCATTCCGACATCCCGAACCTCTCGAGGATAGACTTGCTGTACACGCTTTTGGAAATGGTCAGTGTACCTTGGTCACGGTCGCTCTTGATTTCCATCCCCAAGACGAGCGTCACCTCGCCCATGTCTGTCATCTTGAATCGTTGTTTCAACTTTTAAAACAAGATGACAGACATGGGCGAGGTGACGCTCGTCTTGGGGATGGAAATCAAGAGCGACCGTGACCAAGGTACACTGACCATTTCCAAAAGCGTGTACAGCAAGTCTATCCTCGAGAGGTTCGGGATGTCGGAATGCAAACCGACTAGTACGCCTGGCTTCGGTTCGGATCTCTCTAACATGCACTCAGAGGACACTCTGCGAAACGAGGAAGAAACGCGACGTTATCAGGGCATCGTGGGGTACCCGATGTACATCGCTCAAGTGCTCCGTCACGACATCGTATACGCTACGGGCCAATTGGCCCGCGCAACGGCGAAACCCAGCAAGATCCACATGGTGGCAGCGAAGCACACTGTTCGCTATCTGGCCGGCACCACGGATATTATAATTAAATGCTGGTACAAGAGTGGAGGCTTCAAGCTTAGGCAAGCAATCATCCTCCACGCGCCGGAGCTCCTTCCCGTCCTCAACGGAAACGCGCGTCTCTCGGCAACCGCGGCGAGCGCGGAGGATGTGGCCGCGCGGGACAAGGCCAACGGTCGCCTGTACTCCCTCTGCTTCTTCGCCACCTCCGGGTCTGCGCAACTCACTGTTCGTATGGTACTCACGAAGGGGCGGCGGACAGTGACGTGGGGGATGGGACGGCGGCCTGGAAAGCCCTCAACAGGCGTTTCGATGCTCAAACCCAGGAAGCTCGGCGCGCGCGTCACAACGAACTGTTCACCCTGCGGCCTCTTGCTGGCGGTGATCCCATTGACTTCTTCACAAAGGGGTGGGACCTCAAGCTTCGCCTCGAGGTGCTGGGGGAGGAAGTATCGGACGCAGTCTACCAAGGTGTCATGCTCTCAGGCCTCACCAAGGTCCCGGGATTCAAGTCCATCCAGGAGATGCAGTACGGAGACGAATTGATCGACTTCGGTCGACCGTCTCCAGGCGACGGCTATCCGCTTTTTGGTGGACCAGCAGTTGCGCAATGCGTCGGGCCCCGTGGTCTCGGGCCGAGGGTCCGCGGTGGCGGTCGCGTCCGACACCGACCAGTGCCGCCGATGCAAGGCGTACGGACATTTCCAGCACATCTGTCCTAAACAAGTGCAGAAGAGTCGTCCAAGGCAGGGCAAGAAGAAGGGAACCAACAAGCAAGGCTCACAACGTTTTATGGGAATTGTGGTGTTCATCCCAGCATGTGGTAGCAAAAACTGTGTCGTCGACGTTTGTCGAGGTGATGACATGTGCGGAAGGGTAGCCTGGAAGACGAGAGTCCTTCCACAGCAGTGTGAAGAAGATGTTGAGATGTTGGAACACTGGCGCTTAGGTGGCAAACACAATCCGGAAGGATCACACGAGTGAGCTTCCCAGCGAGCAAGCATTGAATCCTGTGGGAGTGTTGCTCAGCATACACATACGTACGTTTCATTCGTACCGACACATGTGACATCTACGATATGCAAGAGCAGTGCTACTGAACCGTGGCCAGTAGACTACATGCTAACATTTCCATTACACGGCAGGCACCGCTCGTACATCTCTTGTTCTCGACAAACCAATCCAGCGAAAATTTACCTTAAATGGCTCCAAGGTTTCGCCGTGCAGTTCGAGGGCAAGAGACGAGAGAGAGAGACGGGGAGAGAGAGATGGGTCAACCCTATCCACAGATCTATCCTTTTTGGGCCGTACACCACCAAGAATAGTTTCTCGGAATTGCGCGGTATCTCGCTAGTCTGACGGCAATGAAAGAAGGCAATACATATCTCTAGGTAGAGATGTCAGGCTGTTGATATTGCCCCAACAGCTGTTTCACGAAGAGGACTTGCATGACTGTGTTCTACTGCGGAACCGCGTAAAGCGAGTTCGATGACAAGGCCATTTATTCACGTGCCATTAAGTACCTCTCTCTTTCGTTCGAAATACTCGGCACGTTTACCATGCACGCACGCAACTCACGGTACGGCAACGATGCCTTTGCATTCTTTTGCTCTACTCTATCTTGCCGCCGTCGTGGACGAAGGGAGTTTGGCAAGGGGATCAAGTTTGTTGTTGCCAAGAAGGCGGACAGCCTCTACAAGACTGTCAGCGCTGCAAGCATCGTCGCTAAGGTAAGGAACCTCTGTTTCCCGTTCATGTCCGCTGCCTTTTTTTTCGGTGTCAAAGACGAACATCAAACGTACACCAAGATGTGGATATCTTATCACACCCAACTTTTTTGTTTTCTTTGGCGAAATGTCTCAACAAACTATTCTGTAGTCTACGCCCTCCTCTTTTCCGTTCCCGGACTTCCCGTGTACTCTAGTCTCTTGTCAAACAATAATACCTTGAATGAAGCGGAGCAAGTGTTTCTAACCAATGGGTGGACGCCTACCGTACCCGACGCGATTCCAACCAAGGTCACTCGAGACCGAATCGTTGAGGGGTGGCGGTGGTCTGAGCCCAACCTGGACTTCAGCGAGGACAGGAACTACGGGTCCGGATACCCCGGGGACGAGAAGTGCAAGAAGTGGCTCGAATCGAACGTTGACCCGGTCTTCGGATTTCCGGACATCTGTCGCTTCAGCTGGGGCACGACGAAGGAGATTCTCAAGGGTCCCACCCGGAAACGAGTGGATTGGTGAGTGCCATGCGTACATGAGTTCGTACCTTGAATCCAGCGAAGCACACGCTCTCCCACTCACTGAGTTAAGCGTAGAGGATCGTTCTCTCTTTTTCATGTATTTTCGATATGTGCGATGACAATCGAGGTCAGTGAATAAAGCTGATCGCCACAAATCGACCGTTGGTTATCCGTCTGAAATCTTGGTAGAAGGAAGCTCCGAGTGACATACATCACTTTCGAGGGAGATCGTTGGTTGGGTGTATTCTGCACTACGTGTGACTACGGTGACTGATTAGGTTGTTGTTGTTGTTGTTGTTGTCTTCACATTAACAACCGTTCCGATATCTCTCTATCCAGTACCTTCGTATGTCCGTACTGATCCAACACTCATTAGGTGTTATGAGTGAGAAAAAATCGAGGTGGGGGTCCCCAAAGTGCCGGTATGTGCCCGCTGTGTAGTCTTCTCGGTACTACACGGGGTAGCCTCGCAGCCTGCTAAGAGCCAAGTCATGGGTTCGAGTCCCGACAGAGTGAGTTTTTTCTCGCTATTTAAATCTTGGTCTCCGTTGGAAGCGACGCGCTGCAAAGCTCGTTGTTAGTAAACTTGACCGACTTCATAAGTCGCGAGGGAAGGGATTGCTGTACCCTTCTCGCGATAAAAACATCTCAGGCAGGAAACCGCAGGAGGGGGTCCAACCCCCCCCTCCTATGTGACCCCGGTTGGGTCGTCTAGCTGGTAGAAGTGGAGGATACGGGCCAGATGCAGACGACAGCGTCCAATGATGGGAGAAAAACAAAAACGCAAACAAACAACCGGGACTACACCTGGCATTCAGAGAACGAAACAAATTGATATTCCACCCCCGCCACGCGATTAACAAGCACTACATGTATGTACATCCCGGGCAGCGGCACTATTCAACCGGAACTAATGACTGACCGTGCACTTGAACGTCTGCCCACGCCCACCATTGCCTTCCGCTTGCCGACCTCTTGGACGCTTGTGAACTACTGGTACGCTATTTCCCCGCCGCCGTTTTCTCGTGACTTTTCGGCGGGGATGCCCTCGATCGAAAGGGAGGAGGAGCCAGACGAAGAGGCGACAGGCATGAATTCCATAGCGAGCTTCATGGTGCAGCCCAAGAAAAAAGCGCGGGCTAATCTGTTCGTGAAGCGAGGGCTCGAGTTGGTAGACACCTTCTAGAAGTATTTGTCATTTCCACAAGCGTTTCTAAGCTGTAGAAATGTGTTTTTTGCGGTGTATCGCTGGACTACTGATGGTGCCAACTATTCCATTTGCGGATGCCGGAAAACAGTTCGCGTGCGCGCAGAGATTGTTCCGCTGGAGTCTTGCCGTCCATTCACACGACACCATAATTGGTGAGACGTCTGCAAGCACACATAAAACGAACGAACCGTGCCTGTCTCATCTTCAACTTCAGTACGAGGGTGGGGAACTATGGGGGCGACTCGAAGTGCACCCTCCCCCCTACTTGGAACGGAGAGAGGGCGTGAAACGACGGTGTGCTCAAAACCCCTCGGTATGCGACAATCCGATTATCACCAGCTGGCCACACACCGGGGGCTGCCACGACTCTGTACGCCCGGGAAATATATGGGTCTATCGTGTTTTCCGGAGCACCCAGCGATTTTTCACCGGGGGACTCGCCGAAGTGCTGCGGTTGGAAACTTCCGCGTGAAATACGGCAGCTGATTCTGCAAGTAGTTCCGCAAGAATTTAATTCTTCTCGGACAAAACACAGTTAACCCGCGTCAGAGCTTCGGCCGCACTGGCTTTCTTGCAACTGTAGTCGATGCGGCAAAAGCGCACGACGGTTTCTGACCTAGCCCTGTGAGGTCTTTACTTGGAGCGCGAACAATCGACGCATGAATACTGCACAAGCCGGCTCATCATGCGCCTGTTCCAAGAATGCCGGTGAGAAAAAGCTGTATTCGATGTTTTTCGTGACGTTCTGGGCGACAGTGGGGAACCGCGGGCGGAGTCGGAAGTCTTCCCCTGTCGTCAACCTACAGGCCGGCTGCTGGTTGCACTCATAGTCCCACGTGTTGCTTGCAAGAGACAAAAAAGGCCCATCTTATTGCTATGCTGTCCCCAGTAGTAAGCACCCCATACCCCAGCTTCCTGATGCAAAATGTAGAGAGGGACCCCAGCATGGAAGCAAGGGGACCTACAGCTTCTGCTATTCGCCAAATATGTAGTGTTTCCCCTTCGTCCACAAACGTTGTGCAGGCTATCCTTAGCCCGGATTCGTGTGGCATGTTCCTCTTTCGAACCCTTCCCAAAACCCGGACAAATCCCAGAAAAACACACCGCAATGATGTAACGCTGATATTCTAGCAGCCTGCGCTCCCTCTCTTGAGACACGCTCTTTCTCTCCTTGTCCCCACCACAACCCAAGCAGAATAAAGAAACACAAACAACCCTTTGTGTGAATCAGGTGCGTTGATGCATCAAGACTACTCGAGGATAACACATCCCCGACGGGGTCAGGACCACAAAACAGGGAGCAAGTGTGAGGACGAAACGATTGACAGCCAGATACCGCTGCCGCACGCTTCAATCAGTGCGGAAAATCAGCCATCACACGACGACTCTCTCAGTTACTCCCCCCCCCCCCCCCCCC